ACTTCTGCGCGTGCGCCGCGCGCGGGCCTCGGACTCAGAGGTGGATCCTACTGTCCTGGGCGCGCGGACCTGCGGGTTGGGGTTCCGGGACGTGGGCTCGTCCACGTTAGCCTTTGAAAGAAATCTTTGTAACTTAGTACCCAGCAGTCTCCACCTCTGAGCCTGTGTTTAGGTTCGTTACGTCGAGAGCAAGTAGGCGTAGAGTAGGGCCTGACGCTGGGAAACCAGAGTCACAAAAGGGTATGCCGAGGAAATCCTTGGGAGCGTTGTGCTGCATTGTTCTGTATACTGTTAGTGGAGGTGGTCGCGATAGACAGTGTGTGTTAGGCGGGCGGGGTGGCTCACCCCAGTAATACCGGCCCTTTCGGAGGTTGGGGGGTGGGGTCGTAGGAGCAGATATTTGCTTGACTCCAAGGAATTGGTGGTTACAGTGAGCTATGATGGTAGCACTGCGCTCTAGCCTGGGAAATACAGCAAGCCCCGGTGTCTCTTTTTGACAGTCTTCCTCTGGTTCCTGGGTAGAGTGCCGTAGCGTCACAGCTCACAACAACCGCAAACTCTTGCCCTTGAGCAATTCTCTTGCCTCAGCCTCCGGAGTAGCTGGGACTACTGGCACCCGCCACAATGCCTGGCTATTTTTTTGTTGCTGTAGTTGTCATTGTTGTTTTTAGCAGGCCCTGGCTGGGTTCAAATCCTCCAGCCTTGGTGTATGTGACTGGTGCCATAACCGCTGAGGTACAGGTACTAAGCCTATTATTTTTATTTATTTGAATAATAATAGGTCTCTCACTTTGTCACTCTCAGTAGAGTGCTGTGGCATCATAGCTCAAAGCAACCTCTAACTCAAGTGATTCTCTTGCCTCAGCCTCCCAAGTAACTGGCACTACAGGCACCCACCACAACCCCAACCCCACCCCACCCCCACCCGTTATTTTAGAGACGGGGATCTCACTCTTGCCAGGCCCGTCTCAAACTTGTGAGCTCAGGCGATCCACCCACTTTGGCCTTCCAGAGGCTAGGATTACAGGCCTGAGCCATGCTGCCCAGCCCAACAATATTTTTTAAAATTCAGATTACAGTTCAGAAGACATTACTGAAGAAGTATTTCTTCTTCTTTTGGTAGAGACAGTCTCACTTTATCACCCAGGGTAGAGTGCCGTGGCGTCACACAGCTCACAGTAACTTCCAACTCCTGGGCTTAGGCAATTCTCTTGCCTCAGCCTCCGATTGGCCAGGACCACAGGCCGGCCACAAGGCCCTGCTGGTTTTTTGTTGCAGTTTGGCCAGGGCTGGGTTTGAACACGCCACCCTTGGTATATGGGGCTGGCGCCCTACCCACTGAGCCACAGGTCCACCCAAAGTAGTTCTTTTTTTTAGAGACAGAGTCTCAACTTTATTGCCCTCGGTAGAGTGCTGTGGCATCACAGCTCACAGCTACCTCCAACACCTGGGCTTAG